CACGCACACGCACACTCACACGCACACGCACACGCACACGCACACGCACACGCACACGCACACGCACACGCACACGCACACGCACACGCACACGCACACGCACACGCACACGCACACGCACACGCACGCGCACACGCACAAGCACACGCACGCGCACACGCACACGCACGCGCACACGCACACACACACGCGCACACACTTGGATGAGTTGTCGTTATCAAGATACCCAGGCTCCTGCAGACCAGCTCCCAAGACGTCGCCACGGTAGAGTGCCAGGAGAGGCGAAGCCTCAATCGCCGATAGGCGTAGACAATCAAGCGCAGAGGTAACAATTCTTGTCGCAAGTCCCAAGCGCAGGCGATCTTGTCACACGCGCAGCCGAGCGAGGAGCCAATGCGTATTTGCGGCCTTTCGGCCTTGAGCGAGCTCCTAACCCCACCGCTCGGAGGCTTTGAACATAAAGGCTGCAATGTGAACACCCAAGCGGCAGCTGTCTGGTAGGATCACAAGCAAGATGCGCAGGCGAGGGGGGCGAGCGAGCAGGGGCACGGCCAGGAGGCGAGAGGACGGAAGCGAAGAAGAGAACAAGCAGGGGAGAGAGGAAGGGGAAGGCAGAGAGCCTGCACTGGCACACCAGCAGGATCCCAAGAGTCCCAAAGACGTAGACGCGCGGATTACCCAAACGCAGACGGCCCGAGACATGAAGCCAAAAGAGTCAGGGCATACAGGTTCCGAGCTACTGTCCAATGATAATTCACAAACCTAAAAGCCTGTGCGTGCTGAAATTGCATCAGAGGTCATTGAAATAAATGAAAAGGCACGCGCACACACACACATCCCGACCAAAGTGATAAGGGGTGGGATGCTAAAGAAACCGCTGCATCAGGCTCAAGAGCATTCTCAAGCCATCACGGATGAATTTAATTGTAGCAACACTGAGATCACAACCATTATCACTTCACAGATCCCGATCAGAATGCCAGGCGCAGATCCCGATCAGAATGGGTCGGGCAACTGCGGCAAACCACGACCACGTCTCTCCCACTGTGGGTTGTGTATCTGCCCGTATTGATGAAGAAGCAAACGTGTTGGGATGACGACCTCCGAACAGTTTTGCGGCAATCTGAAAACACCCACCAACCTCAGGGAAAAAAACAGTTGCAGCAAAAGACGACTGCCGACCAGCGGAAGTATAGTCATAGTCC